ACAAACGCACCTCATGTGCAAGTGAGCCCTGTCAAGTAAAAAAGTATCATTTTACTTGAGTCTTCTTTTCATGTATGCAATAGCGGTATCATTTGCACTAGCATTGCCAACGGTAATGCTAAATACCTTGTCTATGCCCCAATCATTCAAGCAAACCTATAGACATCTTCCAATATCATCACCCTTGTGAGAAGTAACTTGGACAAAGTTTAGGATCCTCTTATGCAACCCCCAATTAGTGTCCAAAAAATGGGCCATGATGACCATGTAGTTTATCTTTTGAATCGAGGTCCAAGTGTCGGTTGTAATACTCACTCTTAACCCCTTAATCACACTTTTTATTTTTGCCTTCTCTTCAAAATACAATTCCAAAACCACCGCCGCCACCTTATGCCTAATAGGAGGTTTGTACTTTGGATTCAAGTCGCGAATAAAGGTTCGAAAGTCCTCTTGATCAACCACCTTAAAAGGCATCTCCGCTATTATAATTCACCTCACACATCTCCTATCAAGTCTTTTTTGATTGAAAGTGTGAGTGACAACTAGACCTTCCATCCTCGCTTGTGTCAATGTAGGTTGGTTTGGATCCACATTCTCAAAGAACTAGAACCCGGGCATTTCCTCAAATACTTAAGAATTCATGTCGTCCCATGAGTTCTAAGGTGTGCCGATACTAAGAGTTTTCAATGCTTGCATTTGGCTATGAACAATTTCTCCCCATTCTTATCGGTGATCGTTACCCTTTTAGCATCGTTCCACGCTGGACTTGGACCCTTTCTCCTATTGCCCTTTTTCCGAAGAAGACCCTCCCATTGTCTCACTACTTCTTCTACTTCCTCTTTCTGCTCTTCCCCATCTTCCTCCTCTTCTTTTATTTGTTCTAGTGCATTATCCTCCTCCATATCCGAATCATCATCCCAACAATCTTCATAATAATCATTATGCAAATAATCTTAAGGTGAAAGAGTGCCTAGTTGAAGGGTACCACTAGGTTGGGTTTGTTTTCGTTTTCCTAATACTGAGACCATAGGTGTACTAGATTGGCTACTAGACCCGTCCACCTAACAAATAAAATAACAATGCACATTAATATATCACAACCACAATTCAACATATATCCAAATTCCAATCAATAAATCACATATCCAGTTCAAATGCAATAACATTAACATATTCAATATGTGCAAAGTAAGAGGAAACAATTAAAGAGAATTAAAGAGAATTCATATATATTTCACACTAGTCCACTACTGCATACAATCCCAGAACTACTGGGATACACCCATAGATTTGTTAGGATGGACGAGTCTAGTAGCCAATCTAGTACACATATGATCTTGGTATTACGAAAACGAAAACAAACCCAACCTAGTGGTACCCTTCAACTAGGCACTCCATCACCTTAAGATTATTTGCATAATGATTGTTATGAAGATTGTTGGGATGATGATCCGAATATGGAGGAGGATATTGCATTAGAACAAATAGAAGAAGAAGGGGAAGATGGGGAAGAGGGGGAAAAGCAGGAAGAGGAAGTAGAAGAAATAGTGAGACAATGGGAAGGTCCTCCTCGGAAAAAGGGCAATAGGAAAAAGGGTCCAAGTCCGGCGTGAAATGATGCTAAGAGGGTAGCGATCACCGATAAGAATGGGGAGAAATTGTTCATGGCCAAATGCAAGCATTGCAAACTCTTAGTACCGGCACACCCTATAACTCATGGGACGGCGGGAATTCTTAAGCATTTGAGGAAATGCCTAGGTTCTAGTTCTTTGGGAATGTGGATCCGAACCAACCTACATTGACACAAGCGAGGATGGGAGGTCCGGTTGTCACTTACACTTTCAATCAAAAAAGACTTGATAGGAGATGTGTGATGTGGATTATAATAGCGGAGATGCCTTTTAGGGTGGTTGATCAATTGGACTTTCGAGCTTTTATTCATGACTTGAATCCAAAGTACAAACCAACTAATAGGCATAAGGTGGCAGCAGTGGTTTTGGAGTTGTATTTTGAAGAGAAGGCAAAAATTAAAAGTGTGATTGAAGGGTTCAGAGTGAGTATTACAACCGACACTTAGACCTCGATTCAAAAGATAAACTACATGGTCATCACGGCTCATCACGGCCCATTTTTTGGACACTAATTGGGGGTTGCATAAGAGGATCCTAAACTTTGTCCAAGTTACTTCTCATAAGGGTGATGATATTGGAAGATGTCTAGAGGTTTGCTTGAATGATTGGGGCATAGACAAGGTGTTTAGCATTACCGTTGACAACGCTAGTGCAAATGACACCGTTATTGCATACATGAAAAGAAGACTCAAGTCAAATTGTACTCGTTTACTTGACGGGGCTCACTTGCACATGAGGTGCGCTTGTCACATCTTCAATTTGATAGTTAAGGATGGAATGACAGAGCTTAGTTGTGAGATTGATGCCATAAGAAATTGTGTGAAGTTTATACACTCATCCCTGACAAGGTTAGAATCTTTTAGGGAATATTGTGTCTTGTTGAGATTTGATAGGATGTCAAGTATCCTTTTTTATATTGTCACAAGGTGGAATGCCACGTATGAAATGCTTAATAGTGCTTTCAAGTTTAAAGAAGTGTTCTCTAAGATGGCCTTTGAGTGTGACTCTTTTATTGCTTACTTTAAATAGAAGGTCTCGAAAGAGGTTGATGGGGTGACAACAAAGGCCTAGCAGGTGGGTCATCCGGATGTGGATGATTGGGAAAGGTCGGTGAGTTTTGCTCACTTTCTCAAAAAGTTTTATGATGCCATCTTGACATTGAGTGCAACCCTTACTCTAACATCACACTTAATACTTAGCACGGTGACTGCCTTGCAAGTGGAGATACAAGAACAAATTTTAAATGCCTCTAATGCCATTTTGCAAAGTGTGGCTACCTCTATGAAGCTCAAGTTTGACAAATATTGGGGTGACATTGAAAAGGTGAATCCTATTCTCTTTGTAGCCCAAGCACTCGACCCGAGGTACAAATTTGAAATGTTGGAGACAAATCTAGAAGAGCTCGGCTATCGATGGGACAAAATAAAGGAGGAGAAGGTAAGTGTTAAAGGCTATGTAACCAAGTTGTATAATGCTTATAAGGAGGGAGTGGTCCTTAGTAGTACTAGTACTAGTAGCAGTGCTACCTCAAATGTGGAGCAAAGATCTATGTACTTCAATGATTCACATCAAAGCCTAACATGTAAGGGTTTCAATTTTTTGAATTGGTGGAAAGGAAATTGTGGTTAATATCCAACTCTTAGTAAAGTTGCTAAGGATGTATTGGCCCTTCCCAGTAGCACTGTTGCTAGTGAGAATGCCTTTAGTCTTGGTGGGAGAGCTATTGATCCTTTTAGAGCTTCCTTAACACCTAAAACGATTGAGGCTTTAGTGTGTACTAATGATTCGTTCAGAGGAAATGAATTTTGTTTCTACAAGGAGCCTACACTTGATGAATTCTATTTCTACAAGGAGCTTGAACACTTAGAAAGAAGTAAGTAAACAATTTAATTTCCTCTTTTATTTTCTTAGTATTTATTATCTATTAGACTATAATTCAATCTAAATGATTTATGGTTTATTGCTTTAGGCACGGCTAATTTGGAAGGTGAGGAGAATACAACACAAGACAATGAAATGCCACCTCGACCTCCTCGAGCACCTCAAGTTGAAGTTCAACAACATCAAAATCAATCACTACGTCCACGACCACCCATTTTAAGGGGAAAGGCTCAACCATCAACATCAAGGGGAAGAGTACAAGTACTAACAAGAAGAGAGCAACCACAAGCATCAACAAGATCAAGGGGCCGAAGAGGCCAACAATCTTCATAAACTTTAAGCTTTGCTTTTTTGCTTTTAGTTTGTAACTTAAGTATTTTGAAACTTTGGCTCGTAACTAATTTTTTTGCTTTTGGGTTTGTTACTTCATTTACATTAAAACCTTGGCTTGTAACTAATTTTTTTTGCTTTTGGATTTGTTACTTAATTTATTTTAGTCTAAAATCCCAAAAGCCAAAAATCATTTCGGGATTCCCGATTTGTCCCGAAATTCAGAAACTATTTCGAAATTCCCAAAAATTTGGTTTGGGATCGGTATTGAAATTGGGATAACCGAAAATTTCGGTTTGGAAATCGGGACAAGGTTTCGGTTCGGTATCCTATACCGAAACATCCCTACCATTTACCATTGAAACTAGAAAATGTTTGATGGTAGCCCTTTCAATTTGAGACCTCCACACACATGGATCACGAGTGACGACGTGGGAGATATCCCATAAGGTGTCTTTGAAATTTCTTTCATATGGTATTTCTGTGAAAATACAGGAACAAATCAGATAAAGGTAGGGAAGGGGCATATCAGAGAAACTCTTAAATTTCGGCTAAAATCTACCGATTTTGTTGATATTTCTTAAATATAAATTAAATATTGGAAAAACTCTTATATTTCGTCTAAAGTACATTTTCAAAGTTTCAAATTTTCATCATTTCCATCGAAAACAATGATTTTAATATATCTATTGATATTTTCACAAATTTACAGTTCGATATTTTTGCGTATACTGATATTTTTGGAAAGGGATCCCTTCTGGATCCCTTCCACATAATCCTCCTCATCAAATAATCATGATCCTTGAAATTTGATCTAACGGCTAAAGTTATTTTAACTTTTAAAGTGTGTCCGTATTTTTAGCCGTTTGATCAAATTTCAAAAACATAAGATGAGGATGATTAGGTCTTAAGGATTCGGGAAGGATTCTTTCCGGTATTTTTAAATACTAGCACACAAAATCTCCCCTTTGCCACGTCCACGCGCCAATTCGTCAAACTAGAGGAGAGAGTGTAAAAAAAAAATCTTCCTCACTTTCCTGAACATCGAACCCAGAACGAGAGAAAAAGAAAAAACTATATAAACCAACTCCCGCTATTTCTGCTTCTGTAGCCAAACGATACACACAGCACCGCCCCCCTCCCCCCTCCAACACCCCCCGCTATCCCCCCCCCTCCCTCCCTCTCTCTCTCTCTCGATTCTCCCTCTATTTTCTCTCTATTCATGAATTCCCCGTCTTGCTCCTCCGTCATCATCGTCGGCGCCGGAGTCTCCGGTGAGAGCCAATCGTCACCGTCGACTGTCCAATTCCTAATTTTACTCTCATTTCTCTCTTCGGTCTTAATTTCTTGCGTTTAATTACTTCCTTTTGAAAGGTTTATCGGTGGCGAAGGTGTTGATCGAGAACGGCGTGGAGGACGTGGTGATTCTGGAAGCTTCCGACCGTATCGGCGGTAGGATCCGAAAACAAGATTTCGGCGGCGTGCCGGTGGAGCTTGGCGCCGGTTGGATAGTCGGAGTCGGAGGCAGAGAGTTGAACCCGGTCTTGGACCTCGCCCGGAAGTCGAATCTCCGCACTTTCTTCTCCGATTACAGTAATGCTCGCTATAACATCTACGATCGCAGGTCCGTTACGACGCCGTTTCTCTTCTCGTTGTTCATTCTTTAGCTAATTTGTTCCTGCCGGTTTGTGGTTAACGTGAGCCGTGTGCGCAGTGTTCGCGCTTACACGTTTTGTTCCCCGCACGTCATTTTTATGCGTTGTTTGCTACTTTGAGCCGTTGGGGAATTAATTTGTTTCGGCATTTTGTCATACCCCGCAATTTAGAATTTTCTCTGCAATTCTGCGCCGGCGGTGAACTGTTTGTTTTGGCAACACCGGCGTAAACTAGCGCCCACGTGGACTTTTAGCTGCTATGTTGGGTGTTTTTTTCTAAAATGCGACGTGGGTATTACTAACTCGTTGAGTTCACTGGTTTTTTATTTTTGCAGCGGGAAGATATTTCCTAGAGGACTGGTGGAAGAGACGTACAAGAAGGAAGTGGAGTCGGCGGTGCAGAAGTTGAAGAAGCTTGAAGCCGACTGTGGCTACGGCGGCGATTTCTCCAATGCCACCGAACCGCCCTCGTAATATCTCCTGTCTCTATCGTTTTGGGATAATAAATTCAACTTTTCAAACTAAAATTAGAAAGATTAAATTTTTATAAATTAAATAACAAAACGTGTTTATTTTAATTAATGACAAATCATTTAATTTGTAAATATTCTCTACAATTAGTTTCTCTAGTACTTCTGTTTTGTAGTATTTAAAAATTTAGTCTTTAAATTTTACATGGGCAGAATATGGGTTTTGATTTTCTTTTTCGTTCTTGGGTGTGGTTGTCCAGTACACAGAAAACGCCCATAGAGCTCGCCATTGATTTCACCCTACACGATTTTGAGATGCCAGGTCAGTTTTCACAGCTCATTCCGCGGTCAATTGTTTGTTTGGAATTTTCATTTTCATTTTTTGCTCTTTGAGAAATGGGGGTTTTTGTTTTGTGGTACAGAAGTGGAGCCCATATCAACCTTTTTGGATTATGGAGAACGAGAGTTTTTGGTTGCGGATGAGCGAGGTTATGAGCATTTGCTATACAAAATGGCTGAAGATTTTCTTTTTAACTCTGAGGGTAAACTGCTGGACAGTCGTCTCAAGTTCAATAAGGTACCAGAATCGGATCTTCTCGTTTTCGAATTTTTAGCATATTTAGTTTTATTTAGTTGCTTAGCCCAATCATTTCGAGAAGCGGTGCAAATTTGCTTAGAAGTAAGATTATCATCCAGAGGTTGAGGTGTGCTTATTTTAATCTCATCATGGAACAATAATAATTTTCTAATAATCTTTGCTCAGTTACAAGCTTGTGTTGTAACAGAGCAAAACCGAACACAGTTGGATTCTAAAATTTATACACTTTATTTATTAAAATAAGACTTAGTTACTGCTTTTGTTTTTGTTACAAGCTTGTGTTGTAAAGCTTTTATAAAATTGGCTTTCTTTTCCCAATCATAGGATGAAAACAAAAGGGATATATTTGAGAAAAAATACAAATAATAATACAAAAGTTGGAGGAGAAAACTGTGAAATTCTGTTTTGTTGGTATGTAAGCGCAGTTTTTCTCGAAATATTTTTACTCAACATCCTCAAGTATGATAGTAATACTTACTTCCTATTTATTATTACTAGTTTATTTTAAAATTTAAAATATATGTAATTATACACAAATCTTAAATTTTAAATTTATTAAACTATAATAAATTGTGCTTAGCATTAACACTGCCAGTAAAAATTCACCCGTTTTGCTTTTGCTGTTGAGGAAGATTGACCAAGCTTTGGAGTCTGGATAATGACGTTTCTGAAAGCCGTTCTTCTTTTGTTATGTGATATTAATATAATACTGTCATTATTATATTGTAAAATACACCCTTCTTTCTTCAAGGGTCAACTAATTTTTTTGTTTTTTTAGCGCTCATTTTGTCATATTGGATCTTTTTTCTTTTTGTTACTGGTTATATATTTTATTTTATAACCAGTTAGTATAATTTTATTTTATAACCAGTTACTGTATTTACACGAGTTAGTATAATTTTATTTTATTTTTCCCATGAGAAGATATTTTTCTATTTTTTTAATTATCCAACCCATGAAACTTAGACCTCTTTTTTTCTGTCAATTTTATTCTCTATGACTATATCCATTATCCAGTCCTGGTTTTTCTATTTTAGGTGAAGAAATTGATATATGAAAATTTTGTGGCTTCTTGACATTCATTTTATACCAAAGATCGGACTCAACACCTTTTCTTTCATTTTCCCTTTGATTTAACTCGTACATATAGGAAGGGACATGATCCTTGAGACCTTTAAAAGCCCTTTTACCACTCACGTAAACTTGTAGGCCCCAAGAACATTAAACTGTTGAGGTGAAATGTCATATCGGGTCAAATAATAACACGAAAATGGTAGTATTGTCACTTTTTCTCCAGTCCCTGGGCTGCTGTCTTCACCTCCATTTTTGTTGAAAGAAACAGTTTTGTTACCATGTTTCCCAGAGTAACTTATATAACATGGGTTTTCATCTTATAACATGTCGATTTAATAATATCATATAAAGTTGAGATAAATTTGCACATGACGTGACATTATTAAACCTATACGTCTCATTTGATGCAAGTTATTTCTCCATGTTTTCTTGTGGCTTCTAGAACACTCAAATGGGCATATGGGTCTCAATAGTCAATTCTGAGCAGATTCTGCTTCAATAAATCTTTCTCCTTTCATCTCTGAAATTTAGATTGCACAGTTTTCCTTAGCTTGACTGTGCAGGATCTTATGGGGTGGTTGCCTTGGGAACTTCACATGTAAATATTTATGGTCAAATATTTGTTTTACTGTTAATCCATATATGACAAGATGATTCCCTGCTTGATTTGGGGCAGGTTGTTCGGGAGTTGCAGCACTCGAGAAACGGCGTTACGGTAATGACGGAAGATGGTTGCATCTTCCAAGCAAATTACATGATTTTGTCAGTTAGCATTGGTGTTCTCCAGAGCGACCTCATTGCCTTCAATCCACCCTTACCCGTACGTCTTTTCTCATGTTTATATCATTTCAATGAGTTAATTCGTATTTTTGCCATATTTTCCGTTCTTTTATGTGGCTATATCAAGCTTATCAAGCTCTTATATGATTTAATTTGCTCACGTAACATCGTGCTGGCCGCTCCCTTGCATATGTTGGTGTTACTAGGCTCGCTGCCAATTGCCACCACAAATCGTACAAACATAATATGTGGGTTTGGCTCTTAGCTATTGGTCTTGAATTTTACTTGCACTATAGTGGGATCTGAAGGGCTACGTTCCTAGGAAATGGGTCCCTGTGGGAGCTGAAGGGCTACATCCCTAGGATATGGGTCCCCTTAGATGGGATTTGCTATTTGTTTACTTGGTTTCTGAGGTGTGGTCCACATTATTAAATGCAATTTAGTTGAAGAAGTCAGAAATTATGGATAGCTGGGCTCATTAAATAAGTTTCACTGGTTGATGACGCATGAGAAAGATTAGCATGCTGTGTTTTTTATATGCCAAATTGCCAATACCATGGATTTAGGATCCATAGAATTATAACCCATTGGCTTCCAAATAGGTTAACTAATGTGGGCTGTGCCTTACTGCTTCTTTCACTGGCAGGCGTTGAATGCGGATCGGTATTTCAAACTAGTGATTACTGCCCTTCTTATACATAAACAAATGAGATGATTGATTGTACAATGCCTTGGTTTCTTATGGCCATGGATAATCTTTTAGATCTCCTTTACTAATAGCGGCATTAAATAATCAAGGAAAAAAAGTGCCAAGTAAGATCGTTGCATTTGCCGTACTACATTAGGTAGTGCACAAATTCATAACTGTAAACTGTTAAAGACTAACAATAGTGAAGTGGCAGTGATTGGTGATACAAAAACAAGACAAGGTAGATAAATCTTCGAGTTTTGATTGGATTTACTTATTGTTGATGGTTGTGAAGGTTGTAACTGTTTGCAATATATTTTGCCTAGTTTTAACTTAATGAAACTGGTGGATAGTTGTTCATGATTAATTGGTTGTAACCCTATGACTGAAGGCGCATCTCAGTCAAAGTCTCATTTTGATATTGTTAGTTTACTTCGCCTGAAATAATACTAACTTTGATGAATTAAATAACACAGAGGTGGAAAACAGAGGCTATAGCGAAATGCGATGTGATAGTTTACACGAAGATCTTTTTGAAGTTCCCATATAAGTTCTGGCCTTGTGGACCAGGAAAAGAGTTCTTCCTCTATGCCCATGACAGAAGAGGCTACTACACATTTTGGCAGGTTGGTTTAAATATTTGTCATTCTCGACGCCAGCCAACATATATATGGATTTTCATTTCCAGCATATGAATAGATTCCATATGTTGTGTTCTGCACTGGATTTCCAACTGGCCTGTCATATTTTCATGCCACTATTACTTATTTAATTTAGTGTATATATGGTCCTCACCAAGGATCACAAAATGACAACATTTCAAAAGTTCATGTCCAGTGTTGTGGTTCATGAACCATTGGAAAACAACAAAATTTATGGTTGCACACTTACAGGATTTTTGAACACAACCTTTACCATGTATAATCATGTTTTGGCTGTCTGCGCATACAACCGTGCTGTCATTTTACTTTGAGTTGATAGGAAACTTGCCGCTTCCCCATTATGGGTGGGAACAAATTTCTTAATGTTAGTCCGTAAAGTTCGCACCCCTTCCATTTTAGATAACCTCAGTAGTTGGTTTTGAAACTTGATCACGGTCTTGTCTAGTATGCTGCGTGTGTGTTAGGGCTAGGCTGTAACTATCTCCGTTTACAGTCGGGTAACAAAGATTGATTCCTGTTGTTGTTGTTGTGATTAACAAACTAGAGTCTCTTCCAGTATTAGTTTGAATGGTTCTTCATTTCATGACGCATTGATATTTCTGTCACTCTTTTAGAACTGGCAATGTTGATTGCACTTCGATCTCTCTCTCAACCATCGTTCATTTGCTTTCATATTTTGTATAATGCATACTTTAATCAAATCTCAAATGTGTGTATTATTAAAATCATCTTCTTTGGTTTTATTAGGAAACAGACCATATACTTTAAGGACCACAATCATGGAGGCATTGTTAGATGTCATTGTCTCTTTCATGTACTATACGACTTTTTTAACCGACATATGGATATTTTCTAAACTATTATTATGACAAATAAAATCTGTTAAATGGCTGCTAATCCGTTGCCATGTCATCAGCACATGGAGAATGCTTATCCAGGATCCAATATGTTGGTCGTGACCTTAACGAATGAGGAATCAAAGCGTGTGGAAGCTCAGTCTGATGAGGAGACGTTGAAAGAAGCCATGGGGGCTCTTACGGACATGTTTGGGCCCAACATTCCCGAAGCTACTGATATACTTGTACCTCGCTGGTGGAACAATAGATTCCAGCGAGGCAGCTACAGTAACTACCCTTTAGTCTCTAATGACCATTTTGTTCATGACATCAAGGTTTGCCTTCTCTCCCTTAGATGTTGCGTTTCGCCATATATTAATTTCACTTAATGCTTCTGTTAGCTTAGAAGATTGTTGGTTTAACTCTTAGAGGATTCTCAAATTACCGATGTTTGGTGCCCCCTTTCTGTTTGGTAATTAAGTTATAAAGTGGAATTAGAGAATAGTAGTACTGTTGGTTTGTGTTGAGGAGAATGACTTATCCGTCCGGTAGAGCTCATCGTGTTAAAAACCGGCCTTTAGATATTTTTCTTTTTGTATGATTCTTAAGCCTGAGTTGGAATATGCTAAACTTTTAACTTACACAAAGTCTATCTTCGAGTGAAATTTGTACAGAAGCTCTTACTCTATGATATGGTTGCACATGGTTTGCCACATGTGCCTTTCAGATCCAGCCCATGCATATTTTGCACAGTGTGACTCAATTGTCTAGTCACGTGGTGTCCCACATCATGGAGTAAGACAATTTTGTATAAGAAAAATAAGAGACAAAATTTTCGCTAAGAATTGCTTGCCTAAGATTGTGTTCCTTAAAAGCTTTCCGAGTAAAGCTGGAGAACATATACCTTTTTTGTTATTTGCCATCTCCTATTTTTTTTCTTGATCTGTGAATAGGAAAAGCTCAAGCTTAATAGAGAACTTTGAAACGAATTGACATTACATTTTTCTTCTTTTGTGTTCTAACCAGAACCCAGTAGGCCGCATCTTCTTCACCGGGGAACACACAAGTGAAAAATTTAGCGGCTATGTCCACGGCGGACATCTTGCAGGTGAGCATTAATCAAAGGTTCTACTGGAGATTGTAGGCCTCCAATTATAAACACCACTTCTGACATCTTGTTTGCATCATGTTGCTTGATGATCAATAGGTATTGAGACTGGTAAAGCGTTGTTGGAAGAAATGGAGAAGGAGAAGGAAAGGACTAGTGAGAGTGAAAACCAAACTTTCTTGTTAGAACCCTTTCTTGCATTGACCGGTTCATTAAGTTTGACTCAAAACGATGCTGTATCGAGTCTCAAATGCGATATCCCTAGAAAATCATATTTAAGTGGCAAAGTTGGCATCCCGGAGCTATGTTATGACTAGGTGGAATGAACTATACACAAAACATTTATTTGTGACCGAAAACAAAAAATTGAGTGTTGAGAAAGATCGGAAGAGGGGTTTGAATACGATCTCTTGTATAATCTTCGATGCCGTTTACAATGTAGAATGATGGGAGGGATGACATAGCTGGGAAAGTTGTAAGTCTGTCTGTGTAATAGTTTGTTTGGATAATATGGTATAGGAAGTAGGGGATAATCAATGGAGGTGAAAGGGTTTTGGATTTGGAACGGAATTGGTATGGGAAAATACACATGTAATATTAATTACTGAAGCTGAAGGGAGAGAAGGAGGTAGGAATCAGGTTCTAGTTGTAATGGTACTGAATGTTAGTTTCACAAGAACCAACCTTTCCCTTTTTTTCTTGGCATTTGTATTTGTTTTGTTCAGATTTAATCAATTTTCCTTCCTATCAAATCATGAAAGCAAATGGTTTCCTTTGGAGAAATTCTTTTGTGGGCTACTGTTTTGTGGGTCTAGAGAAGTCCATGATTCCAGCCCAAGTACGAGGGAGGCAGATTCTCTGCCCTTCCACTTCCAGTGCTCTCCTATTTTGTGTGGTCATGGTTAAGTCATGTCAATATTTTATATTTTTTTTATAGAGATAATAAGATAAAAAAGAATAGTAATATAAAATGTTGACGTGGCTTAACCGTGACTACACAAACAGAAGAGCACGGGAAGTGGGAGGGCAAAGAATCTGCCTCCAAGTCTGAGTCTTCTCCTTGGCCTGATTTTTCAAGTAATTATTTTGATAGGACATTCACAATATGAAGTTTTTATGATTGTTTTTAATACAAATTATTAATATACGATAATACACCACATGTAATTATTCAATTGGAGGATCACTTAAAAAAATTCCACCAATAATTGATACTGTTAGTTTTTCAATTGTTAAAATAGTATCCGTCACTTTTAATATAATCGGGTAATATATTTCTATTCACTTATAAATAAAAGACCATAGATTTAAATCTCTCGAATGAAAGCTCAATACTAATTTATTCTCTCATCCATAAATATAAATATATCTTTATGTAAGATTAAAAAAACAAATCCCAAATAAGAAAATTGCACAATGGTCATTAGTTTTGTGCAATTTTAGTCAGAACTAATTTCTTTTAGCATTAACCATCTAATTGTTTCTGAGCACCACGATATGATTTAGTTGTATGCTTCTCTCCTTGTAAGTTGGAGATCTACAACTCTCGTAAATAACGAATTCGATACCAATTTATAGTTAATGACACATTTTGTGACTTAATCTATCCACCGAACATACTAAAAGCACTTTTAAATAAAATATTTTTGGAACCAAATCTTAGTAAAAATATGTCTTTTAGTATTATAGTCTAATAGTATTCTTTTTCATGTGTAAGTGAGATGTTAGGTTCAATTCTAGCCAAAGCTAAACTTGAACCACATTACTGCTAGCCTATTATAAGACTTAGCCTACTACATACCTAGTGCTTTAACCGAATACACTTCAAGTACTTTTGAAACCTGTAAATATTTTATCTAAAAACGCTTTTATATATTTAAAACGACTTGCTAAACCAGCCTTCTACCAATGGAAAAGCACCGAGTCTAGTTAGCAACTTGATGAATCTCAATGGACAAATAAAACTTAGTACAAACTTTCGATCAAAGTTACAGAGTTAAAAGAAAAAAAAAGAGACAATAAATTATGTACAAACCACATTTCAGTTCCCTACTTCCCTGAATAATTTGAATTTCTGGCGACCATGCCGGAGATTCTCCGCCACATTGTCCTACTTTACTGTGTCGGTGGCTTACCCCGAAACGAAAATACATTAAGTATTCCCGCTGACGACTGCAGATTCATGTGTAATCAGTGTCGGTACAGGTGGTTGAACACAGTCACAACAACTCGGCTCATCTCCTCTGAATTTCCACCAGATTACATCAATCATCACAAAAACTAAACCCTTTTTGCAGCTTTTGATCATCCCACAGATTACAGTGAAAGAGAGGTTTTTGGATGCAAGTGAAATGTTGGTCCAGGACCGCCCAGCTTCAAAAACCTCCAAACCCTCCAAAACCCAGCAACCACTTCACTTTTCTCATCCCAAAACCTTGATTTCCCCCAATTGGGTCTCCTTCAATTTCTTCAAGATCGCCACTTTGTCACTCCTAACATTCACCATCGCCACCCTCTTCTTCCTCTACAACTCCAACGACTCCCCCTCCACCTTCCTCTGCTTCAAATCCCACCTCCACGTCCCCAAACCCCTCCAATACCCCACTCTCACCTTCGATTCAATCCGACCCATCTCCGATAAGTCCTCCGGTTACGCTTCTTTCAGCTCCGATCGATGGATTGTGGTCTCCGTTTCGGATTACCCTTCCGAGTCACTTCGAAAGCTGGTCAGAGTCAAGGGCTGGCAGGTCCTTGCAATTGGGAATTCGAGGACCCCCGTGGATTGGAGCCTCAAGGGAGTCATTTACTTGTCGATGGATGACCAAGCGAAATTGGAGTTTCGGGTTTTGGACTACCTTCCTTATGAATCTTATGTGCGGAAGAGTGTTGGGTACCTTTTCGCTATCCAGCACGGCGCGAAATTGATATACGATGCTGATGATCGCGGGGATGTGGCGGATGGTGATCTCGGTAAGCACTTTGATTTGAAATTGTCAAATGTGGATGTAATGCAGGAGAGGATTTTACAGTATCCTAATGAAAACCCCAATAGAACTGTTGTGAATCCGTACATTCATTTCGGGCAACGATCAATTTGGCCTAGAGGATTGCCTTTAGAAAATGTAGGTGAAGTTGCGCACGAAGGGTACTATAGTGAAGTATTTGGGGGAATGCAGTACATTCAGCAGGGTATATCGAATGGCTTACCCGATGTGGATTCTGTTTTTTACTTCACAAGAAGGTCGGGTTCAGAAGAGCTCGATATTAGGTTTGATGAACATGCTCCAAAAGTTTCATTACCTCAAGGTATAATGGTGCCATTGAATTCTTTTAATACGTTGTTTCATTCTAATGCATTTTGGGCTTTGATGCTTCCGGTTTCGGTTAGTACAATGGCTTCTGATGTTTTGAGGGGTTATTGGGCACAAAGAATATTGTGGGAGATTGGTGGTCATGTTGTTGTCTATCCTCCAACTATTTATAGATATGATAAGATTGAAGCATACCCATTTACGGAAGAGAAGGATCTTCACGTAAATGTGGGTCGATTAATCAAGTTCCTGGTTACTTGGAGATCTAGTAAGATTAGGTTGTTTGATAAAATTTTGGAATTGAGTTATTTGATGGCGAAAGAAGGGTTTTGGACCGAGAAGGAGGTGAAGTTCACAGCAGCTTGGCTTCAAGATCTGCTTGCTGTGGGGTATATTCAGCCGAGGCAGAAGGTCATGAATTTGGATAAGCCAAGAACAATCATTGGCCATGCAAACTGGAAGGAATTTATTCCTCGAAAACTACCTTCTGTGCATCTTGGGGTTAAGGAATCAGAGATGGTGAATTATGAGATAGGGAATTTGATTCGGTGGAGGAAGTTTTTTGGCAATGTTGTTATGATCTTGTTTGTCAGCGGACCTATGGAACGAACTGCCTTGAAGTGGAGATTGCTCTATGGAAGGGTATTTAAAACCGTGGTGATTTTCTCGGGCAGTTCTAAAGATAAATTCGGTGTGGAGCAAGCTACATTGGACCAAGTATACAAGTAAGTTACTAGTTATGCAATGGTTTCTTTGTTGTCGTTGCCAACGTCCACACACATTCATGAGTTTCTTTGTTGTCATCATTTTTTAAATGTATATTATGCTGCCCTTACAATTATGCAAATGGTATGTAGGTATCTTCCCAAGATATTTAACATGTTTACAAGTGCAGAAGGATTCTTGTTCCTCCAGGACAATACTGTTCTCAACTACTGGAATCTACTGCAAGCAGACAAGGCTAAGCTGTGGATTACCAACAAGGTAGTGCAAATTCCCGATTACAAAACCCTGAATTTTAAACCAACACTGACTGATCATTCATGCACTCTCTCTTGTAGGTGCCTCAGTCTTGGATTACATCCTCAGTCAATGGTAAAGACATGGAATGGTTGTCGAAACAAGCAAATATGGTAAAGAAAGTTGTCAGCACTATGCCAGTCCATTTACAGGTCAACTACAAGGAGAGCATGCCAAGGGAGCAGAGTCTCGTTTTGTGCAGCTCCGAGGTATTCTATATTCCACGACAATTTGTTGGGGACTTTATCGATCTTGTAGGTCTCGTGGGAAAATTTGAAATCCACAGTAAGGTAGCAGTTCCCATGTTTTTCATGGCAATGGATTCGCCTAATAACTATGACTCAGTGCTCAATACAATGATTTATAAGCCAGACGCATCATCTAGCAACTCTTCAAGTATTTATTCTGCTCAAGTCGCAGCTGTCCATCCATGGACCGTTTCCAGCGAGTCTGATTACATGAAACTTATAAGATCCATGGCGACGGGTGACCCTCTACTGATGGAGCTGTTTTAAATTACGGTAGGAAACTTTATACCGCTCCCATTTTGTATGAGGCGTCTCAAACGAGATTGGTAATCGAAACAAAGGATCATTTGGTTCAAGTAGGCTTTAATTTCTTTCTAGTTTCCGTTTTTTCTCATGTACATATAGAATTTTCTTTCGCCGGTATGATTCCAGTCATTGATGTAAACTCGTGTCTTACAATTCGTATTTGAGCTGTGGATATATCGAATGAGAAGCATCGTTACATTACCGGTTCAGTGTAGCCTCTTTCTCGTTGTTTATGGCGCTTCATCGATTTATGCCAATTTTCTGCCCCTTTATTTTGCTAATTATTGATGATGGCGATTAGACACTAAATGCAGGATAAATCAGTATTAACTATAAAATTAAAGCCCTGTTATTCTTATTTGCTCCTAAAAAAAAAAAGCAAGCTATGTGTGAGTTAGACTTGTAGATAGAAATTGTTTTTTATTTCTCGACATTTCCATCCAATTAAGAATACGGTTGTAATTAAGAAATTGAGTTCAAATTAAAATAACAGAGTATGACAATATTCACCAGTGTACTCAAGTATCTATAACAAACATCCAAATTAATACATCAAGCGTATTGGAGTTGCATCCATACTACGAAACATAGTATTCAACTTACACATGTATGGTTATATTATTTGTCTCTTTGCAATTACCAAAAGTGGGTTAAGTGAAATTATCGATTAGTTCAGTTGGTAAATAGAACTCACAAAATCCCTCAATGTTTAATCCCAACAAACTATTCATTTTTCGTTTGGGAATTATATTAGTACTCCAAATGTAACAATCCGTTCCTAATTTTACGATTTTATTAATTTTTAAAAATAATTTGACGAAAATGCCTCTAGAGGCAAGATGTTGACTTTCGTTGACCATTGTATAACGAGACGTATGAAAAATTATTTTACCGAATCCTTGTAGTAATCAACATTACAAACGCGTAAGCGCAAGCAAAACTAAATTTAGAGTTACAACATAGATTCTACGAAGCACTGAATGTCAAGGATATTTTTCTTCATCATATATATTATTTTTTTATGACTTTAGCTTGTGCGCCAAATGAGGCCGAACCCCCCCCCCCCGGGTGTCTGCCTTTTTCTTTCTTCATTTTCGGGAAAACTTTTGAAATTAATATATAATTCATTTTTTATGTTCATGCATCTTGCATTGCTTTAGGATGCAATTTCTATTAAGAAAGCACACAATATCTCCACTTATACTCATACAAAAGGGACACCCACCTCTCATCTCTCACTCACAACTCTCCTCTCCCTCTCATATCTCTCTTCACTCTCTCTTTCACTTCGAGCACACGTACGCACAACCAACAACCACAAGGACTGCATTCTCATGACATTGGGAGCCCTGTGAACCAGAAACCATGGACAAAATCCCTCATTTACCTCTCCCTCGCGCTGCACAGTAGCAGCCACTGTGCTTGTCTCTCTGGCGAGTTCTCAGTCTCCGGCGAACAACACCGTCGACCACCACCGTGGTTCGACTTCCCTTCAGGACAGGAACAAACCCCAAACAAGTTTGGGGGCGGCAAAGCATCGGAGGAGACGGATCGACAACCACCCATTTCTAGGGTTCCAACGGTTCGTGATGGTTTTCAGACCACTTCTCGGCCGAATTGGACTTCGGCCCAGGTATGAAAGTTGTTCCTTTCATTGAAATTAAGCATAAATCACATATTTTTCTAATCTATCGTTGTTCTCTGGAGGGCACTGATTATGGCAGTATCGTTGTTCAAAATCTGTAAGTGTTTACTTATTGTATTATTTGTGTAAAAATAATTGTATTTATCTTATATTTTGAATATAGGATACCTGTTGAATTGACAATGGTTTCTGGCTACGCGGCTGTTCTGTTGGCCGGGGTTATGTTCTCCACATGATGGCGTTGAATGATGTGGGTTGTGTTTAGCAGCTAGATGGCCTATTTGATCCCACTTCTGATGCTGATGATTTTTCTAATGTTGAAAGTTTTTGTAAACGCTTGTTTCAATTGAAGAAGTGTTGTGTGATTGACAAGTCAAAATTGGATGGGAATGGTTATGGCATTGCATCAGAGGACATAAGAGATTTGGGGGACGTCTTTGTCGAATTGCCCACGTTGAGCTTTCTTGATTCACTTATTTTGGATGAGGAATCAATAAACTTTGATAGGTGACTTCTGCACTCTCATTTATTTTCCTTTCATTTGATTAAGTTTATGCTTAGTTACTAGGTTACATTATAGTATTTGATCAATAAATTGTGATGGTTGCTGATATCAGATTCTTCACTCAGTATTGGCTTCTTAGTGATTATAATTTTCTATCTAATTTTAATTTTCATTTGTCATTACGAGTATAATTGGAATTTTCACTTGTGCATCTGTAAATTTTCTCAAATACGCAGATTGGAGGACTACTACCAAGCTTGAGGAGATCATTACTCTAGGTCCTTTCACCTCAAGATCTTTCTTATACTCTGACGATTGAGGTGTTGTTGCATTCGAAAAATATATTCATGTGATTTTGCTTTACGTTATAAATTGACTTTTTTCCATTCGTCTCTGGATTGCTAACTCTAATTAGAAAATATATTCACGAATGAAAAAAGAGTCAATTTATAACGTAAAGCAAAATCACATGAATATATTTCCCGATGCAGCAATACCTCAATCATCAGAGTATAAGAAAGATCGTGAGGTGAAAGGATTTAGAGTAGTGATCTCCTCAAGCCTGGTAGTAGTCCTTCGATTTGTGTATTTGAGAAAATTTACAAGTGAAAATTCCAATTATACTCGTAATGGCAAACGAAAATTAAAATTATATACAAAATTATAATCAGTAAGAAGCCAATGTTGAGTAAAGAATCTGATATCAGTAACTAGGCTAAATCACAGTTTAATGATCAAATACTATAATGTAACCTAGTAAGTAGGCGTAAACTTAATCAAATGAATATTCAAAACAAGAAGAAGAGACAAATGAAGGGAAAACAAACAAGAGTGCAGAAGCCACCTATCAAAGGTTATTGATTCCTTATCCAAAATAAGTGAATCAAGAATGCTCAACGTGGGCAACTCGACAAAGAAGTACTCCAAATCTATCTCTTATGTCCTCTGATGCAATTTCGTGACCATTCCCATCCAATTTTGACTTGTCAACCACACAACACTTCAATTTAGACAATTCTTTACAAATACTTTCAACATTAGAAAATACATGAGCATCATAAATAGGCCATCTAGCTGCTGAACATAACCCACTTCATTCAACACTATCATGTGGAGAACATAACCTCGACCAATACAACAACCATGTAGCCAGAAACCATTGGCAATTCAGTAGGTATCCTATATTCAAAATATAAGATAAAACAGAGCTAACAAGGAACAACATTAATGCAAAATAGTTATGTTCAAATACAATAATTTTACACCAATAATACAATAAGTGTACTTACAGATTTTGAACAACGATACTACCATAATTAGTGCCCTCCTGAGAACAACGATAGATTAAAAAAATATTTGATTTGTGCTTAATTTTATATGACTCTTGTAAGCAGAAATAAAGTCACAAGGTGGCTACCCCCATAAGGATTTGAGATGGCCTTACATTGCCACTTGTGATCATCCTGAGACAAAGCTTCCTCAGTTAAGGGAGTAGCTCCAGCAATTAGAGAGAGAGAGCATCAGCAGCTACATTGTCATTTCTAGTTTTATAATGTATTTCATAATAGTCGCCCATTTTTGCTGAAATGGAGTGTGAGTATTAATGAGAAGATACTTTAGGCTGTGAAGATATGCTCGAATAAAGTGTCGGCCCTGTAAATAGTTGTGCCACTTTTTAACTGCATGTACAATTGCAATAAGTTATCGCTCGTATGTAGTTAAGGATTGATTTCAAGGTCCTAATGTTTGGCTATAGAAGGCAATTGGTCGGCCTTGTTGCTGCAAAACTGCACCGATTCCTTTCCCTGAGGCATCACATTCAATCTCAAAAGGAATTGAGAAATTTGACAAGGCTAGAACCTGTGGGGAAGTCATGACCTATTTCAAGTGAGTGAAGGCATCCTGAGCACTTGAAGACCAAAGAAAACCTTCTTTCTTGGTTAATTGATAAAGGGGTTGGCATATCTTGCCATAGCCAGGAATGAATTTCTTGTAATAACCCATTAGTCCCGGAAATCCTCTTAAGCTTTTCACATTAGTTGAAGTCGGCCAATCAGCAATGGCCTGCAATTTAGAAGGGTTTGTAGCTACCCCCTCTCGAGAAACAATGTGACCAAGGTACTTGACTTTACTCTGACCAAAGAAACACTTTTGTTTCTTGAGAAACAAGTGATGAGTCTTCAAAATCTAAAAGGCAATGCTCAAATGAGCTAGATGATCCTCCCAAAATTTGCTATAAACGAGGATATCATCAAAGAACACCAAGATAAAGTGTTTAATATGAGGCTTAAATATATCATTCATGAGGTTTTGAAATGTGGCAGGTGCATTGGTGAGCCCCAAAGGCATGACCAAAAATCCATAATGCCCCTCATGAATGCGAAACGCAGTTTTAGCAATGTCAACAGGATGCAGTCCTGATTTGATGGTAATTGGACCTTAAGTCTGAGTTTTAAGAAAAATTGAGCACCACACAACTTATCCAATAAATCATCAATCAAGGGTATAGGAAACATATCCTTAATTGTGATGGAATTGAACTCCTTGTAATCCATGCAAAGACGCCAAGTACCCTCCTTCTAACCAATAGCACTTAGAAAGAGAAAGGGCTATAACTAGGGCGAATGAACCCTGATTACAACAACTCATTAACTGCTTTCTCAATTTCTTTTTTTTGCATTGGGCCCTAGTGGTAGGGCCAAATGCTTGGGGGTTTTGAATCAGGAAGCAAAGGGATGCGATGGTCATGAGTTCTCTCTTGGGGGGGGGGGGTGGGGTGGAATGTAGTAGGGAGCACAAATAACTCCTCAAAGTTCCTTAATAATGTATGCAATTCTTGGTGTTGAGTTAGATCAAGCTTAGAGGCTTCCAACTTGTCTATGTCCATAGAATAAAGAAATAGGCCTAAGTTTGAAGTGTGAAATGCCTTGTCCAAATGCTGCAGAGAGACTTCGTGTAGAGAGGGAGGAGTGGCGGGCTTGTGAGAAAGCTTATAAGTGGCATGGTGCTTCTGGAATCCCATGGTTAAAAGGTGGAAATCCCATAGGACATGACTAATAGTAGATAACCAATCAACCCCCAAAACTAAGCCATAGCCTCCCAAAGGTAAAGCATATAAGTCATGTGTACACTGATAACCTCCAAGAACAAGTGATGCAACCTTAAGACAGCCCTGACTATGCACGTTTCCCTCATTGGTTGAAAGGTTGAGTAGGCTGCAAGGGCCAACCCATGTGCTTAGTCTAAAGTCAATGAAGCTATAAGTGCTTCTAGAATCCAACAAAATTCTCACAGAATGTTTCCAAACTAAACCTTCCACTTTCATAGTCTGAGATTTATGTGGTAAATTGGTGCCATAGAACGCACACTTGCTAAGCTAGGTTGCAATTCAGAAGGGATATCCTCAAATTCCTTCCTCATGTTCAACGAAATCCAGCATCAACAGTTGTTTCTAACCACATTTGTGACCCTTAGTCCACTTTTCCACACAAAACAAGCACTCCCCAAGTTCTTGTTTCTTAGCAATTTCTTTGGGGCTAAGCTTATTCACAAGTAAATTACCAAATCTGTTGTCAGAGGAAGTGGGAAAAAAGGGAACAACTGCCTAAGGTTTAATTTGTGATGTAGGGCGTTGAGGACCAAGTCTGAGCTCAGAGAGCTTAGTGTCGAGTTGCACTGCAAACGTAATTGCCTCATGCACATTTGCAGGCCTTAAATTCTTCACATCAAATTGCAATTCCTTTCTTAAACCGCCTAAGAAACAACTCTTAAGCAGTATTGGGACAACATCACTAGTACGGTTTGCCAATCGATGAAACTCAGAAATTTAGTCTTTGAGATTACCAGTTTGGCAAAGTTTGAATAGAGATTTTTCACAATCCTCAAACTCAGAGGACCAAATTCGGTGCAAAATGCTTTAGTAAACTCCTCCCAAGTGCGGTGTGATCTGAAGATAGTTCATCCAACGGAACCAATGCAACGTCTCCCCCTCCAGATGGAAAGAGACGGTCGTCACCTTCTGATGATCATCTGTAGTGTAGTAATCGAAGAACTGTTCCGCCTTGTAAATCTGGGCGAGTGGATCATCTCCGGGAGTGAACTTAGGGAACTCAATCCTGGGCTGCCATTGTTGGCGTGGTTGTGGACCACCTCCATCATAGATCTCCTAGTGTGTGTAAACACAAGAAATTCCTGAAACAAGCGACAAGAATACGTGTACAAAATATATATTTTGTATTAATGATTTTGGGGTTACAATCTCCTTGTAATTTGGTCCTCTGATTCTATCTTCGTAGGGTGTAGGTTTGTGGATGAATTGTTGATCCAAAGGGCCGTCGGGGCTTGATCTAAGGATGAACAGTTGATGAATGGATCTTCAAGGGGCGTTGGGCCTGATCTTGAAGAATGGGTGTATGAGTTTGTTAAGGTTGTTGATCCAAAGGGCCGTTGGGGCTTGATCTTAGGATGAACGGATGATGAATGATGAACACTTTCTTCAAGGGGCCGTCGGGGCTTGATCTTGAGTTAGTGGAAGTTCTTCAAGGGCCGTTGGGGCTTGATCTTGAAGGTTGGTGGATGAGCGGATCTTCAAGGGCTTTTGGGCTTGATCTTGAAGGTTGGTGGATGAGCGGATCTTCAAGGGCTTTTGGGCTTGATCTTGAATTGAACGGATGATGAACGATGAACACTTTCCTCAAGGGCCGTCGGGGCTTGATCTTGAGTTGGTGGAAGTTCTTCAAGGGCCGTCGGGGCTTGATCTTGAAGGTGGAAGTTCTTCAAGGGCCGTTGGGGCTTGATCTTGAAGGTTGGTGGATGAGCGGATCTTCAAGGGCTTTTGGGCTTAATCTTGAATTGAACGGATGATGAACGATGAACACTTTCCTCAAGGGCCGTCGGGGCTTGATCTTGAGTTGGTGGAAGTTCTTCAAGGGCCGTCGGGGCTTGATCTTGAAGGTGGATGATGAACGATGAACACTTTCCTCAAGGGCCGTCGGGGCTTGATCTTGAGTTGGTGGAAGTTCTTCAATGGCCGTTGGGGCTTGATCTTGAAGGTTGATTTGACGAAGAACGAAGAGTGCTTTCTTGATCCTTCGGGATTTGCTTGAGAGCTTTAGAGTTCCGAAGCTTGAAGGTTTTGGTGTGATATCAATTTCCCTTCCTTTCTTCCTTCCTTCCTTCTTTCTCCCCTTCAAATGAATGCCTTTGGCCTCCTATTTATAGAATTCCAAAACTTGATTTTTTGGATTTAAATAATCAGATGAAATAAATCATTTCTGCCAGGTATTGACACGTGTCCTATTTGATGACTTTTCCAATTTATTTCGATTTTTCGTTGAGTCACACGCTACATGTAAAATTTATGTGATACGTGAGCGTTGAAATTTTAATTATTGGTCAACATTCATTTCACCGAAATTTTGATGTCTACAAATGCCCCCACTTCAAGGCGCGTCGTAGACATGTGCTTGTCACGTGTAGAAGATGCGTTTTGAAGTCCCTTAATGTAAATGTCAACCCAAGGGCCGTCGAGGCTTGATCTTGAATTGGGCTGGAAATTTCTTCAAGGGCCATCGAGGCTTGATCTTGAGTTCGACTGGAAGATTTTCCGGTTTCCTCCAATTGTTGATTTTCCGCAGGCTTACTCTTGAACTGAGCTGGAGGACTCTTTTGGTCTCCTCCGAAGGTTTGAACTTACTCCTTTGATCTGGAGTTGAATTTGATTCAAGGGTGGTGAACACTTGATTTTGAATCGGACTTGTGATTTCTTCAAGGGCCATCGAGGCTTGATCTTGAACTGGGCTGGAGGATTCTTTTGGTCTCCCCCTATCGTTGATTTTCCTTTGTGCTACTCTTGAACTGGGTGCAGGGTTCTTTTGGTCTCCTCCACTCGTTGATTTTCCTTTGTGCTCCTCTTGAACTGGGCAGCAGGATTCTTTTGGTCTTCCCCGAAGGTCTGAGCTTACTCCTTTTTTTCTGTTTCTTTGTTCAATCTCTCCAATTCGTATTGAAGAGGGTTAGAGGATAGCTCAGCATATGCAGTTGTAGCTTGTCTCCACATGCTTCAATGCATCATTTTCACTTGCCTTACTTGCTCCCCTTTGCAGAAGTGGTATTTCCTTATGCAGGTTTAGCATCTTCTCTTGTACTATTTGTTCCTGATGCAGGAGTTGAAATGCAACCTTTGCATTTAAATGGTGCTTCAAAACATTACTTCTCCGCGACGATGAGTACTCGAGAGCAATGCAAGGTAAGCAACCAGGCAAAGGTTCTAGGCAATCAGTTCCAGGTCGGAAGTTTGATTTCAGGTTCCGACTGATAACTCTATTTCCCCTTCTCCTGCATGTAAGAGCAAGGACAAAGAAAAGGACAGGGAAAAAACATGATATGAGATACCTTTGCTTTCGCCCTTGATGATATGAGATACTTTTGCTTTTGAAGAAGCGGTGAATGAATCAGCACATGCTTCCATCTACCGTTTCCTCCTAGGTCATCTGTACTCCAGGCATCTGGTATCATCTTTGGGGAAGAGGAAAAAATTGAGTATTTTGAGATGTTTTGCTGGGAGTGTACTCTCGGAGGTGAGGAAGAGTGGGGCATTTTTTTTTTTCGCAGGTCTGCCTTGCCATAAAAGATGAAGGTCGACATATATAGGGATTTCCCAATAGCAAGTGGTGGTACTGTTCTTTTACCCTTGTCGACAAACGTTTTGATCCCGTAAATTCGGCTTTTTGAAATAGTGACGACTCTTCGATCTTTGAATACGCCTCTTTGATTTCTGAACGACGCCTCTTCGATTTCTGAACGAGCGTCTCTTTTGACAAAGTGGCACGCTTTTTCTGAAAAGCAGAGAAAGCGTCGCCGAACTTTGCGCTCGTCAGCTAAAGATGTGTAGCTGCGATGATGACCTCCACGTGATCTTTTGACAAAGTGGCACCCGTGCTCTGAAAAGCCGCGAAAGCGTCGCCAGCCTCCACGTGTTTTCAACTTTGTCGGAGATCTTTTGACAAAGTTGAACGCGTTTTCTGGAAAGCCGAGAAAGCGTCGCCTAACTTACGCCGGAAAATCCAGCTTTTGAGATTTGCAGAGCAATGTCTCTTCATTTTTTGAACAAGCGGCCCTTCGATTTCTGAGCAAGCGCCTCTTCGTTTTTATAGAGGTATTGATCACCTCTAACATGCACACTTCGAAGGTTGCTCATTCCTGAAAATCATCTCCGGCCTTTTGAGTTTTAACTCCATCCACCCATCTCTTTTAACACCTTTGAAAAATGGCTAACCCATCGAACCTTAGCTTAGAATTGAGTCTCAGCAGTGATCCGGTTGCGCCGCTTCAAGGTAATGTATGATGTCCTTCTTTCTTATCTTCTAACGGTCCTCTTACAGGTGAAGACTCAGTGATGCAGGACGCCACAACAGCTACAATAGTGGCTCGGAACCTCCTCACTCCCAAAGACAGTCAGCTGCTTTCAGGACGGTCTGATGAGTTGGCCGTTCAAGAGTCCCTCGCTCTTAGTGTTCAGTGTGCGGGCTCTGTGTCCAACATGGGCCAACGCCTGCTTGCTCGGTCCCGTCAAGTGGAATCATTGATGGCAGAGGTGGAAGATCTTAAGCAGGAGATTAAACAGCTTAAGTACGAGAATAGAAGTTTGCATGTGCTTGCAAATAACTATTCGTCGGGCATGAAGAGGAAGCTTGATGAGATGCAAGAATCTCAAGGTCGCATTCAAAGTGACCGTCAAAGGCTTGCGTCTTTCTTCCAGAGGCACATTTTTCCGGCGTCATCAAGCGTTCCACCAAGTATTGGGGCCTCGAATGATCTATCTTCGGTGCTTCCCGCTCCTGGAGTTTGGCCGAGTAGTGGGGCTTCACGTGAACGACCTTTGTGAAGGGTCCATCTTCCTCTTTCTTTGTTAGATACTTTTTTTTTTTTTTTTTTTTTTTCGCACTTGTAATTTCTCGAAAATCAATGAACATGCTTCGTTTTATTCAGTGTATTATGCTAAATACTGATAAAACATATACATCACTGTCCATCATCAATTTTTTTATTCATTTGTTTGCTTTCGGTGGCACTGATCCACCATTCATTTATATATATATATATATATATATATATATATATTTCAGATGGTGCCAGAAGCACCACCATTGTTTTTTCCTTTCTTTTTATTATATATATATATATATTTTTTTTTTTCACATGGTTCCAGAAACACAATCATTGTTTTTATTATACATATATATATATATATTTTTTTTTTCTTTTTTTTTTATTATTCTTTTGAAAGATGCTTCCAGCATCATCATTGCTGCTTTTTTTTTTTTTTTTTTTATTATTCTTTTGAAATATGCTTCCCGGCATAATCATTGCTACTTTTTTTTTTTTTTTTTTTTCTTTATAAGGCCATCTACAAGGCTGAGTTCGTGGGTGAAGACCCAGGCGAGTCCGAGAGAAGACGGAGGAGATCTTTGGGTGTGAGTTGACAAACTTTGATTTTGTCAATCACATTCAAAGGCAGCAGCAGAGGCAAGCAGACGGATGAGATCTTTGGGTGTGAGTTAACAAACTTTGATTTTGTTGATCACATTCAAAGGCAGCAGCCATGGCGGAGGTGCAGAAGCAGCCAGAGCTTGAGGCAGAGTGTAAGGCGTCGAGTTTGAAGACCGGCTAGTCGTTTGACGGCGGTCAATGAAGCTCTTCGTTGATTTTGATCAAGGTGGCCAGAATAACGAACTCGAGGTAGTGCAAGGCGTGAGGAGACAGAGGAAGGAGCTCCACCATCACCATTGAGCACAGGCAAGGAGCACAGCCACTGAGCACAGGTAACCAGGCAACCGTCTAATTTGATTGACTGCAACGTTGGAAGCTTTTCCAAACTATCAGCAAGAGCAAGAGTCACAGGAGAGACAATACAAGTTACTCTAAACATCCTTCACTACAGCTCGCTAGGGCGGACAACCCAACATGACTAATGTTCTGACAGCTAGATATCTCAAGTTTCTTAAGCGACTTGCACCCATGTTTGAAGGTAGAAAGGCCGTCATCGTCGATGTTGAGCTTGAAGTGGAGGAGTTGCAGCAAATGGTGGCGATCCTCGTGGACCTGTGAAGTACATAAGTTTGCAGCCATCATTCTAGCTAGTAGGCAAACGTCCCTTGTGACCTCGGGAGTTACTCTTGGATTACCATCACGATCACCACCCATCCAGGAAGAAAACTGAATAAGTGGGGCGTTATGGGGAACACGCTCATTAATCCCAATATTCTTCAAAGTTGTATCCACACGACGGAGAAATTTTGGGACACCCTTCCAAATTGTTTCATGGAAATAGCTCATCCCCGCTCTCATCTCATCTTGTGGAGTGGGAACTGTTCTTCGGATCTCATCCGTACGAAATGCAGCTTGGATCTCTGGGCCCTGGGGAGGTCAGCGGAGCAGCGAATTCAGGGCGGCGACGGCGTCTTCAAATTTCTGCTTCCTCGAAGGTGGTCTGAGTCAGACAGTCCCTGATCAATTGGGTAGAAGGCACATCGAAGGTTCTGTGGAGAATGAGCGACTGCACGAAATAGATCCCGAAGAATCCAAGCAAGTAGATGAAGGAGGCGACGAATGCGAGTATCGCGACGATCTCGGAGAAGTTCACGACGTGGAGCGGCGTCGAGGTCCTGATCTTCCTCTATTATTTTCTAAAGCTCAGCATCTGCCCAATCTTCAATTCTGTCTGGGTTTTTGACGAGAGGCAAATGATCGGCTGCGACCAGTGCAAGCAGGTCGAAGGAACTTTCACTACCATTTCTCTCTGCTTTTCAGATCAGAGAAAAATGTGAAAAAAATTTGATAGATCTGCAAAAAGCTTTGTATATATAAAGCTTCGAATTTTTTTTTTTTTAATCGGATCTGTAAAGTCTCTGCCTTTTTTGCTTCCGACTCACTCTTCAACTTGTTCAATTTTTTATTTTTTTTTATTTTTTTTTGCGGAATCCGGTGCGCTTATCGTGATGGTGAGTTGGGTTTGGTCGCACCGGGAGTCCAGCCATTACTACTGGAGCTGCCACATTGTTACTAATGCTGAAATTGGCGTCGCTAGAGGGGCTGGTACTTGATGCAGTTCGCGACGAGTAGGCCGCCGGCTGCAGCGCTGCCTGTAATTCCGGCCGAACGACGTGTCGGACTGTGCAAATGTCTTGGTGCTCTATGAAACTTTCCACTCTGGAAAAGACACGGCCGCAGTCACAGGAATGTCCTCTGGTGCCGCAGGTTTTGAGGTGTGCTTTGTAATCGGACTGCACGGCGTAGCCTTTGGAGCACTTGTCGCAGACCCACTGCTTGTGGTTGCTGTGTTTTCTTCTGAAGTGTTTTTTTTTTTTGATCCCGACGAGATCGCCTAGGGCGTGGCGGGGGTCGTGGTGGAGGCAGCTGGGCTCCGGGCACACAAACACCTTCTTCTTGATCACCTGATCTTCTGCTATCTCTCGCTTCAGTAGTTTCCACGGCACCTTAGGACGACGCCTGTGCATCTGCAGATTCTGGTCTCTCTGAAATCCCTGGTTGCAGATCTCGCACACGTACCGGTCCGATTCGAGTAGAGTCTTGGGAGACCGAGACACCACTTCTGCATCCGGATCTGGTGTGCCTGCAGGTCTTCTTTTTCGTTTGTGGGTGGCTCCGCCATTTTCATGAGAGGAAGAAGACGGAGGAAGAAGAAGAGGAGCTGGCGCTGCTGCTGTCGCTTGGTGCTGCTCCCGAACCACCGACGCTTCGAGGTCCGAATGGTCTGAATCGGCACCACCGCTGGATTTCGAGGCTGCAGTCCACAGAGCCGCCATGGTGACGAGCCCTGAGAAAGGGTAGTCCTTCTAGGGGTGGTGGGAGGACACGTGGCAGTCGTTGAGTGCTAGGAAGGCGTCGGGGAGAACGTGGACGATATGCCGATGACGCTGGTGACGAAGATGACGGAGATTGAGATTAGCTTGAGGTGAGCGGCGGCGCGTCCGTCCCGGCAGGAGAGGGACCGAGCCGTGTCTGATACGCAAGAGGCCATTTTCCTATATAACCAACAAGCAAAATACAACTGACTCTGAGGCCTCTTTAATTTGTGGGCTTGTTGTCTGGTTGGGAAAATGGACAGAGAGAGGGAGAGAGATGCTTGTGGGGTTAAATAGTGTGGGTTCCATCGATTGATGAGAGAGAGAAGAGAGCAAAGCAGAAGGAGAGAAGAAGATGGTGACTTGGGCCGAGTGAGGATGGGCTTTGAGAGTTGGGCCCGGATTTGTCGCTGGGCTCGCTGGCTTTGGAAAGTGGAGTAGAAAATTTTGGAGCCGGCCTCTTTTTTTTATTTTTTATATTTTATTTTTATTTATTTATTTTATTTTTTATTTTTTATTTTTTATTTTTATTTTTTTTTATTTTTTTTTGGATAGAGAATATATATTTTTTTTTTCTAATACATAGTAACATATGTATTTTTTTTTCTTTTCTTTTGTAATAAAATTGACTTTCTTTAATGAAACATTTATTTATTTATTTTGATGTGACTGTACTTGAAGTTTTGAAGTTTCAAGTTGCCTACGTACTCTTCCAGAGAAGAGATCAAGTCGTAACGTAGTTCAAATGAGTGATGGTTTTGATGATGATTTTGATGATGATTTTGCCGTACACAGTTTATGCTCTTGCGGGCCAGGAGCATCTTGGTGCCGTTTGCATTTTCAGCTCATGCAGGCAAGGAGCGTTTGTTGTCACCTTTTATGCTCGTGCGGACAAGGAGCTTTGGTTGTCGCCTTTTAGGCTCGTGCGAACGAGGAGCTTTTTGAATTTGTCAAACGATCTTAGAGGGGCATTCCTTGCAATCTTCATAGCAAGGAGTCTTGACTGAGTGATTGAAGAAGTCTTTGGGGAAGAAATCGCGCATTGTGATGGCAACGGACGATCTTTGTGTCACAACTTCATCATCCTCAACACTTTCATGTAGCTTTGACGGTTGACGTTGGCTGCTTTGCCCTCTTTCCGATTGGTGAACTTGTGGAGGAGACCTATGTTTCTTGTGCATTTTCTTTGGAGTGACATAAGTCCACCCTTCAACTTTACTTGACTTGACTGACATGGTTTTGGAGCATGCCCCCAGCGGTTGAGGTGAAGATTTTGAGTTCAAAGAGCCAGAAGTGACGGTGGTATAGTTTGACTTCACCACATCATTAAGATCTAGCTCGATGATCCCTTTCTGAGCCAACTTCATGATGAGATCTTTTAGCACAAAGCACTTTTCCGTCGGATGACTAATGAAGCGGTGGAATTTGCAGTACCTTGGACTATCAGTACGGTTCATCTCTTCTGACCGTTTGCACTCAGGTAGGTCGATCACCTTTTTGTCAAGCAAGTCTTTCAACATGGCAACCACGTCAGAGTCGGGGAATGGATAAGTCTTCTCCTCAAGCTCCTTCAAAGTGCGTCTACGTATCTCTTGATCACGAAAAGCTTCGGTTTGAATCGCCTTGCTTCGTGTAGGGATTTTGACTGGAGTTGTGTTGACCGTCATTGCTTCCTTGGTGGGTTTCCACGTAGCCTTATCCACCTTTGGCCCCAAAACTTTGTCATTCTTGTAGTCGGCGATCTGTTCTTTCTTCCCATGACGATTGATGCTTAACTCCATATCATGGGCGCGGGTGGCTAACTCCTCAAATGTTCGTGGTTTGATGCCTTGAAGGATGTAGTGTAGTCCCCACTGCATGCCTTGAACGCACATCTCAATGGCAGAGGTTTCAGAAAGCCGATCTTTGCAATCCAGACTTAAAGAACGCCATCTATTTATGTAGTCGACGACAGGTTCATCTTTCCACTGTTTCATGCTGGTCAGCTCTAGCATGCTTACAGTACGACGAGTGCTGTAGAAACGGTTGAGGAATTCCCTTTCTAGCTGGTCCCAACTGTTGATAGACTCAGGTTCGAGGTCAGTGTACCAGTCAAAAGCATTACTTTTTAGCGAACGCACGAACTGTTTGACGAGGTAGTCTCCCTCTGTCCCAGCATTGTTGCAAGTTTCAATGAAATGGGCGACATGTTGCTTCGGGTTGCCTTTTCCATCGAACTGCATGAATTTTGGGGGCTGATAACCCCTTGGCATCTTCAAAGCATCAATCTTCTTGGAGTAAGGCTTTGAGTACAGTACGGAGTCATGCGAGCTTCCTTCGTACTGTGTCTTGATAGTGCTTGCGATCATCTCCTGTAGTTGCTGGATAGAGAGAGATCCCATGGACGCCGTTGCTTGGTCTAGCTTCGGCTTCTCTTCGACTTTCTCCGCTGGTGGCTCCTCTTCTTCGTCGCCTTCTTTCTTTAATAGGCCAACAATTGGGTCGACTTTCACGTCGAGCTGCGCATCTAGTTGGTTGACAAGTGCGGCAATCTGCAAGTCCTTCTCTTCCACAGTCCGTGTGAGCTTTGCAATTGCTTCATTCATCTGAGCTAGCTGCTCCTCGATTGAAGTTGCTCCAGTGGTCATGACTTGCATGGTTGTACTGCCGCTCGAATCAGCGTCGGAGAGTAGGGACTCTGCGTATTTCCTTGGGGTCTCCCCTTTTGATGCCCTTAGCGAGGCTAGGGTGATTACAGGCTCGTACCTCAGGTGCTCTTGTTCCTTTGACAGAGTTAATGCAGGGGCGGAAGCCGCGGCAAAAAGATCTCTTGCCTTACTTCGGGTTATGATGCCCGAAATATCACCACTTGCGGCGATGATGTTCTTATTCTTTGCTTTGATTGCAGGAACAGCTTGATCCTTTCTTGACGCCATTTGCGTTTTTGATGATTTGAGGATAGAGATGAGAGGTAGAGATTGTCCCACCGGGCGTGCCAAATTTGTAAACACGAGAAATTCCTGAAACAAGCGACAAGAATACGTGTACAAAATATATATTTTGTATTAATGATTTTGGGGTTACAATCTCCTTGTAATTTGGTCCTCTGATTCTATCTTCGTAGGGTGTAGGTTTGTGGATGAATTGTTGATCCAAAGGGCCGTCGGGGCTTGATCTAAGGATGAACAGTTGATGAATGGATCTTCAAGGGGCGTTGGGCCTGATCTTGAAGAATGGGTGTATGAGTTTGTTAAGGTTGTTGATCCAAAGGGCCGTTGGGGCTTGATCTTAGGATGAACGGATGATGAATGATGAACACTTTCTTCAAGGGGCCGTCGGGGCTTGATCTTGAGTTGGTGGAAGTTCTTCAAGGGCCGTTGGGGCTTGATCTTGAAGGTTGGTGGATGAGCGGATCTTCAAGGGCTTTTGGGCTTGATCTTGAAGGTTGGTGGATGAGCGGATCTTCAAGGGCTTTTGGGCTTGATCTTGAATTGAACGGATGATGAACGATGAACACTTTCCTCAAGGGCCGTCGGGGCTTGATCTTGAGTTGGTGGAAGTTCTTCAAGGGCCGTCGGGGCTTGATCTTGAAGGTGGATGATGAACGATGAACACTTTCCTCAAGGGCCGTCGGGGCTTGATCTTGAAGGTGGAAGTTCTTCAAGGGCCGTTGGGGCTTGATCTTGAAGGTTGGTGGATGAGCGGATCTTCAAGGGCTTTTGGGCTTGATCTTGAATTGAACGGATGATGAACGATGAACACTTTCCTCAAGGGCCGTCGGGGCTTGATCTTGAGTTGGTGGAAGTTCTTCAAGGGCCGTCGGGGCTTGATCTTGAAGGTGGATGATGAACGATGAACACTTTCCTCAAGGGCCGTCGGGGCTTGATCTTGAGTTGGTGGAAGTTCTTCAATGGCCGTTGGGGCTTGATCTTGAAGGTTGATTTGACGAAGAACGAATAGTGCTTTCTTGATCCTTCGGGATTTGCTTGAGAGCTTTAGAGTTCCGAAGCTTGAAGGTTTTGGTGTGATATCAATTTCCCTTCCTTTCTTCCTTCCTTCCTTCTTTCTCCCCTTCAAATGAATGCCTTTGGCCTCCTATTTATAGAATTCCAAAACTTGATTGTTTGGATTTAAATAATCAGATGAAATAAATCATTTCTGCCAGGTATTGACACGTGTCCTATTTGATGACTTTTCCAATTTATTTCGATTTTTCGTTGAGTCACACGCTACATGTAAAATTTATGTGATACGTGAGCGTTGAAATTTTAATTATTGGTCAACATTCATTTCACCGAAATTTTGATGTCTACAGTGTGGTGTCCGGAATGGCGCATCGGTAAAAAGAGGAAGATCTGGGATGTGATATGGCGAACCACGATTCGGATCGGAAGTGGAGCCACCTTCACCGCCAATCGCCAATTCGCGGCGAAATTGCTCGAAACCCACAAGCAATTTAGTATCCATACCCGCCGATTGTTCCCTTAAAGCCGCAACCATTGTAGCTTCAAGGGCGGAAAAATGAACATCGAAATAGACTTCGAGAGCATCAAAGTGAGCATCCATGGCAACGGTGCATGCAACATTCGAAGGGCGTGGCATACAAGGAAGGAGACTAGAACCGAGAGGATGATACCAATTGTTAAACCCTAACTCGGATTCCTTACTCAACTTGCAGGTATGAATATCTATGGAGATGAACATGAGAAAGGAGAAGGAGCGGAGCTCCTGAGATATATTTTTGGGAGAATATTTTACGTATGAATATGAGATAAAAAAAAAATTCATGTACTAAATATTAGAAATCATAAAATTTGAGGATAGTAAACTGAGATTTATTCTTTATTTTAGGTATGAACCAAAATTAACATTTTAGGTATGAATCTGATACAAAAAAAAAATTCATGTACTAAATATTAGAAATCACAAAACTTGAAGATAGTAAACTGAGATTTATCCTTTATTTTATTACCACATGGCAT